AAACCCCTAAACCCTTATAAGCCCTATAAGCCCTGAGAGTCGCTTTCGCTCGAAAGCGAAGGCCCTTGAGGCGGCCCTGGTCGCGCTGACCAACGTCGCCAGCGAGAGCGGAGTGAAGCTCCAAATGCAGGCCTTCTAAGGGCCCAGGGGCCCAGTCTTTTTGGGGTTTAGGGTTTAGGGTTTAGAGTTTTTTTGGGCGTTTCCGAAAATGAGGGGTACCTTATTTTGGGCGTCCTTATAATAAGGATCCTATTATTTAGGGTACTGTATTGAGGTTCCCTATTTTCGGAAACTCCCATTTGGGCCCAGGGGCCCAGTCTTCTTGGTGTTTAGGGTTTAGGGTTTAGAGTTTTTGGGGTAAGTTTAAAAGGGCATTAGAGAAGGCCGTGGATAATATACAAGCCCTGAAGAGAGAAGCCTTCAGAGTGTAGTTGGGGGTTGGGGCCACGGCCAGGTGATCCTGGAGAAGAGTCGCTCCGAAGACGCCGAGGCCGGGCAAATATCGAGAGTCTAGAGATCAGATAGAGGTAGAGGAACTAAGTCCCATGATCCTTTAAGTAGCACAATTCCGGAAACCCAAAGTGCAGAGAGAGGAAGATGTATGACTTGTTTGAGTTCCTACGGGCCGGAAAAGTCGGCTAACCCCTGCACTCCAGCAAAGCTCCTCGGCTGTGAGAGGTCCGCCTGAACGCCGTGAAATGCGTCCATCGCATTTGGATGGACCTCGGTGTCCAGGCATACTGTCAGCGCTGCCGGCTGCCGGTTGACGGTGTGCTAAACAAGTTGTTTTTCGCTGCAGGTCGTCATGTGCCTCTCGGAAGTGACAATGTATGCCTCTGAGCTCCTCGAAGATGAGGTCCGGGCGGCGGGATACTTCGCGCCGGGAGCCAGAGGTTCAGGCTTGCGATCTTTGCAGGACTCACGGGTGGAGATGGCTGTGCGGGCCATGATCAAGACGATGGAGGCAAGCGGCGAACAAAAACGGGTCTTGGGCTTGCAATGCCATGCCGGTACTGTGATGAAGTCCATCTTTGGCTTGGGCAGGACTGCACGGGCGAGAGCTTGCAGGACACCTTGAAAAGCTGAGGTGCTGCACTCTAGATCTCTAGATCGTGGGCCCGACTGCCCAACATCGCTTGACTCCGGACTTTCTGTGGCGTTCTCAGCGCCTACAAGTAAGACGGCATCATGCTGAAAGCAACTCTTCAAGCTTCAAGACGTTGAAGTCTCGGAGGGGCTGCCAGCTGCCGCAATGATTGATTCGCAGGTTCACTGGCATCGAAAAAGGAGCGGCGCGGCTGATCGGATAGAGGACTATACCCGCAAGCACTCTCGAAGAGCATGTCCCAGTCCAACCATCATCATGACGAAAATATTCGATGACGATGAAGATGCGGTCCACCGGGGGGGGGGAAACCAGGGGAAAACCGTGCGCTCCAAGCTTTGGTGAGAGCTGGCAGCCTTCCGGTACCGGAAGCTTGAAATTCCCTGTTTTTCCCGCGTCCCAATTCTGTCTCGCCAACTGGGATTTACCAGTCATCGCTGCACACCTGCTCGCGGCTTAAGGTTTGAAGCCCGACGGCGTACCAGCGGAGCCATGGCCCTGGCCCTTCGCACTTGGTTCTGTCTCCTGGCTCTGGGACTTGCGGATGCGTCCAGCGCCTGCGATAGCAGGAGTGGCCAATTTGCGCAGGAAGACTGGCCCTCCTGCATTGATCTGAACTGTAGTAGGCAGAATGTGGCAGAGTTTGCCCTTTGAAAGCCAAATGTTGACTAATTTGCTTATCCGCCGTTTTTGGACCTTTCCTGCCGGCGCAGGGGGCTGCTTGTTGATGAATCTGCCCTGATGCTTAGTAGTTTCTGGAGGTTGACGCTTCAAGCCAATGGTGTCTTCGAGTGGCGTAGAAGCATCCCCAATCTGAGATAAACGTTGAGAGGTGTTCACATAGCATGCGGCAGAGTTCGCTTGGAGAAGGCGAAGTCTTGACTAGTTCGTTGGTCCCTAGCTTCAGTTTCAATTTAACTTGTTCCGACTCGTGGGCATCATGTCTTCGCGAGATTATTCTGCCACCTCTCTGCCTGATAGTGTGCATGGCTCGTTATAGCGGTTGTCGGAGTTTGAAGACTGGTCACCAGGCCGACTAGTGCATTTCGCATCTGGCAGAGTTCGTCCTGAGAGGGGCGCTGGTTCGATTGTTGAGTCCTTGACAGTCTCTCTGAAGGAGAGATCGGCAAGCTCCAGCGCCAAGTTCTGTCTGGCAGTTGCAAAAAATAGCGCCCAACCTGTGGAGCTCCGCCACCATGACAACTTGACAACGAACTGCCACTCTGTGAAGAGGGACACCCAAATTTGTGGTGAGCCGAGCGATATATTTATATGGATTCGGTCCCAACAGCTTTGAGAAATTCCGCGAATTGATGCACGGACCCGATACTCCCTTTACGGCACTGGCCAAGGATCGATTCACCGGCCAGTGTCCTGCCAAGAAGCGCGTCAACGGATGCAAGAAGAATCATCCGTCATACGGATGGTTGTATGTCTCCTTGAGGGACTTCATGGGACCGGGACACATGACTGATGACAAGATCCTTCGAAAGGTTCGCTCTTCGCGACGCTCCTTCCATATCCGCCAGGACCCGACCACGCAGACTTGGTGTGGGCGCTCTTTTCCACCGACGGTTCTTGTACCGCTCGCTTGCTTACTCAGCACAATCCATCCGTCCTCGGCGTCGACGGACTTGTACTCCAGGTAGTCGACGAAGTCCTCGGCGATCTCGGGGGCCCGCCGTCCGCGTAGAACAGCAACTCCGCCTCCGTCGAGTTGTTCGCGGACAAGTTCCCGCACGGTGTCCTTGGCGCGCTCGGGCATCTCATCGGCATGGATGCGTCGCTCCCTCGGCGAAGCTCCTTTGACAAAGTGGTAGGCATTCTCCTGCACCTCCGGGTCGGCAAAGTCGTCTCACGTCATCGGCTCGATCACCGCCTTGTCAAGCTCAATCGCCTCAGTCGTTCCTTCCAGCCCCCCAATCTCCATCACCACGATGGGGTCGTAGGTCGCAGCGGGGGTCTGCACTTCGCTCATGTAGGTCGCGGCTGTCGCCAGGAAGGTTGCCATGAGCACACTGATCTTGCCCGCGGCATTCATGATTCCGTTGCGCGTACTTTTTCGCCCTCGTCTTGGTGCCGCTCTGTTTGTCGCTGTGCTTGGCCTTGGGGACCGGCCCCTTCTTCTGAGGTACTTCTTGAGCTCGTCGCCGACCTCCGTGATGCCCCTCACGGTGTGGAACGTGATGCACCATCTGCTGCCTGTCCATGTTCCGGAAGCATGCCGCCGAAAGGGGTCGAAGTCGATGAAGTTCTCCTTGTTGCCATAGTATCGGCCAGGAACCCAGGCATTGGCGCGGTCCCGCTTCCAAACTATGTCTTTCCCTTTGACCTGGTCCTCGGTGAGGTCCTGCTCTAACCACACATCACCACCACCATTGTGGCCAAAGGCCGTGGAGTAGTTGTTGGACCCTCGTAGCTTGTTGGAGTCTCGGTGCACGCTCACTCCTATGTTCCGAGTGACTGAAATCGAAGACAATGTTGCATCTGCCCCGAGCCACTGACCAAAGTTGTTCAGGTAGCGAAGGATGGCGTCGTTGTCCTTGGAAGCCCGGGTTATGCCATGGACACCTTGATTGAAGAGTCCGTAGGTCACATAGAGGCCCTCGGGGTCGCCCTCGCCGTGATGGACTGCGCGCATAGTAGGATTGCCACTCGGGTAGGCATTGTCCTCTAAGATCCGCTGGCAGGCGAAGGTGTAGTCGGCCCAGTCATAGTTGTCATCCCCGCAGCGTAGAGGTTGGGCGCGGCCGTCATCGTCACGAAGTCGGCCAGCAGCTTCACCTGGTTCAAAAACCGCAAAAGATTGATTCCCACTAGAGTGGTCGTAGTGCTCGTTGTGCAGTGTCGTGGCATGGCCGGGACGCTCGAGGTGCTGCTTGCTGTAGTTGAGGGCCTGACGCTTGTAACCCCTCACGTACTCGTCCTCAGTGATAATCTCGGTGCAGCACACGGATCCACAACAGTGGATCTCCTTCGCCTCGCGTCCCCACCACAGTGTTCTCTGGTCCTCGCGCATCACTGATCCGAGCTGCTCGCCTTGTGCTTCAAGATCGCCAGCTTCGTCTCGAGAGAGCCGCGATCTCCTCCAGAGCCGCCGGATCCGCCTGGGCCTCCATGGTCGCCTTCTCCTCGAGTTCCTTGCTGGCCCGTTTGGCGATGGACTTCGTGTTCCCTTTGCCGGAAGGGGAACGGAACTCCTTGGGCGTCGCGCTCACTTCCTCCCACGATCCCCGTGACGGAGATGACATCGACTTCGCCTTCAAGGTGGAAGCGCACCCGCCGTAACTCGGCGGTGGACTCATGTAGTCGCTGCTCGTGCCCTTCTGGTAGTCCTCGGGTCGCTCATGTCCTCGGGGATCGCGATGTTGCCGGCCTTGATCGTCTGTTGCTCCTTCCACCACCTCGCGAACATCATGAACTCCGGTGAGCTGTTCGTGGTCCTCGAGACCTCGGCAGCGGCCCAACGACCGTATTCGTCGGGAACTTCCCGGTACGTACGCCCCTTCCATCTCCCGAAGGTCATCAGGGTATCCCCGGGTGCACTCACCGTTGACTTGATCATCTTCAGTAGCGCCCCCTTGGTGGTTCGCTCGGGGACCATCACGTTCATCTCCTTGGCCTTCTCGATCAACTCGGGGAGGTTCAGGGAGCTGAGTCCTCTCATCCTTTGTGAGGCCGTCTTCTCTCCGTAGGCGTCGATGTGCTCGCGGATCGTAGCTCTCAACTCTTGGACACTCCAGGTGTGGTGCACTGTTGCTCCCACTCGCACTGCTTCCGAGAGGAGCATCGGCTTCGTCATGCGGCGGAGGGGAACGGACTTCTCGTCGCATGTCGGCTTGTCCATCAGCGGCGCCGGGGTTGCGAGGGCAAGGACCTGGGGCCCGAAGCTTGAACACAGTTCTGTCGGTCCATAAAAGTGGAAACGCAGGCTCAACTTGTCCGGCTTCCCATTGATCAGTTGACTCAACCCATTTGCCGCTTGCACAACCGACGCTCTCAGTAATCCTTGTCTGACCAATAAACGCAACCAGCATATCCCTCAGCACTGTAGACCCCGTACGCCAGGTAGACGGATTAAACATTGATCTCCTTGGAACCATGTGCACCCTGACCCATGTAGTAGGAGTCTCTACCCAAAGTCCCGGGCAAGCGATCCTGGCTCAACATGTCTCGGGTACCTGGGTCAAGTCTTTTGTCGTAGAAGATTCCGGAGTACTTGGGGGGGCTGCAAACCTTGGTGGGCTACTGCAAAAACGGTCATGTGTTGCTCCGTGGGCTGCAGTCGCAAGTCTTCGATCTGTAGATCCGGCATCTGGCCAGGAGGCAAACTGACTGGCATGATCGGGATCGCCGGGTGGCCTGAGGATGTCGTCGAGAGCTCGTAGTCGGTGAGGTTGATGGCCTTGAAGTCGGCTTTGCCACCTTGCACGTCGTAAACCATGTCTAGCTTCCCCAAGACGGTCTTACTCAGAAGGAGTGGGATGTCACCGGTAATCACCGACGTGCGGACCTGACACAAAGCCCCCCGACTTGAAGCTGACGATGACATAGAACGACGAGTAGTGAACCTTACCAGTTCCGAACCTATAGGCCTCGCACTCCTTCTGCAACACCAGTTTCTGTCCCATCTCAGCCAGCACATTGGTGTAGGACTGCAGCCACTGTGATCCCGCCACTGTCCTTGCGCAAGCCGTGTCGGCCACCCCAACAAGGTTACTCGACATGTGCTTCAAGGTGAAGACGTCCGCCGGCATCACATTCGTCATGGCGATGTTCTTGACACCGCTATCGCCCTTGGCGTGGTCGCCACGGTTCAAGGGGCACTCGTCGTCCTTGTGCCAATGGCCGCGCCTTCCGCAGCCTCCACAGAAGCTGCGCGCCTTGATGGCGCGAACTTTGGCCTCTCGATCTCCACCGCCAGGGGCTCCTCGTTGGTCGCCGTCACGATCGCCATCCTTCGTAGGCTTGTCACCGTCCGTAGTCTCGCGAGCTCTCTGCTGTGCCCGGTACTTCTCCTTCGCAGACTGGTAGGTCATCAGCGCCTCGGCCACCTCCTGGGGGATGGCCTCGTCGTTGTGCTCGGAGTCCTCCTCGTTCGCGGGGTCGCGGTCGTGCTCGGTCATGTGGGCGAAGTTTGTCCGCTTCGGCCTGGCACTCGTCCCCTCCCATGGTTTCCTCTGTCCACGGTCGTGAAGGACCGCAGCATGCTGAAGGTGGTGTACGCTGTATCTGTTTCCTACACTGGCCAACAACTTCAACTCCTGAGCTTCCTCAAGTTGAAGTCGGTCTAAGTAGAGCCACGCCGCGCACTCCTACGGTAGAGAGCATCCGACTTCTCGTAGGCGAGCATGAAGACGATCGTACTCGGTGTTGTGCTCTCTGATCGTCTGCGTGGGCTTCCTTCGCAACTTGCGAAAAAAGTCAGAGAACGCCCGGCCGATCCTGGCCACCTCCAAGTCGAGGAAGCGGGCCGAAACCCACGAGGTGAAATACCCCAGGCCCTCGGAAGTGCTCAACCTGGAAACTGAAAGCTCCTCCGCCGCAATCCAAGCCTTGCCTTGTAGATTTTGGTAAAGGACTAAACCCAACTGACTCGTTGGCAATCGTGTAATCCTCTTCCAAACTTCTATCTGTCGAAGGTACGACCGTGCGGAGTTGCCCCAGTCGTCGTTGTCCTCAGCTGAAAAAGTTGGCACGGTCAAGCGCTCGGTGGGGGACCTTTATCGCCATCTTCGTGTCCCTGCCAAGTGTTCCACTTGTGGTCGCCCTGCGAGTCGTAGCTGCGTCCGTCTTGCCATGAACCGAGGTCTGAACCATACCCGGAGCCATCGTTCCACCGAGTGAGGCTATCATTCCAGCGGTGAGGACCCCCGGAATCATGTAACGCATGGAGTCTGTCTCGACCATCTGCCTGCATGCTGTAGTTGAGATAGTACATGAACGGATCTAGAGAACGACACAGATCGCAGCCGCTTGGGGCCGCTCCTCTGACGTACTTTTTTGCCACACGCCTTTTTGCGCCTGCAGTGAGGAGTCTGTCGTCGGTCTAGTAGCGGCAGGCAGCTTACCACAGGGAGGGAGGGTCGGCGCGGTCCAGGCAGGACCAGGCCGCGGGAGCACAGCTTGCATCAATCCCAGCGCGCATCGGCGAGGACCTCATGCAAATCGGGCATGGGTCCTTCGCCCAGAGCGGCAGGCCGTTTGCGACGACCTCGATGCGCCGCTCGTCAGCGACAGGAACGTCGGGGTTCATGTCGGCGAGCTTGACGTGTCGTGCGACCCTGGCGCCACAGCTTCGCGGCAGACCTGCGCAACGGCGTGCTCCAGGGGCAGCGCGCGCGTGGCGAGGACGCCGGAGGTGGCACAGCCCACGCGGTGGTCGCCGAGGGGGTCCGGCGCTCCGTGGCAGCTGCACCGGCTGCACCTGCGCAGTGCGCGTGGGAGGGGCAGGCGCAGGCGCCTTAGCAGGAGGACGCGGAACTGCACTGGGGATGGCGATGTCATCGCGTGTGGGCATGAGGTTTAGTGCGCGGGAAGTGAAGGGCCCTGCTTGCGACAGCAGCAGCGCTCGAGACGCTGGGGAGGTCTGAAGCATGCGTCTCGTACGCGCGCTTATCGGCTGCACGAGCAGAGGTCAGCCCAGTCAGGCGCCGCAAAACCAATGTCAGTGATGTGCTCGAGCATGGGGGCCGAAGGCAGGGCTCCGTCGCTTGGCAGGGCGCGGCCGCTGCCGGGGCCCTGGCTTGGATGACGGGCAGGGTGTCGCACCAGGAGGCCCAATGCGCTGCGAAGCGGTCTTGCGAGGCGGAGCGGAGGCCGAGCCCCCCAAAGCGCTGAGCCAGCTGAGCTGTGTTTTGGCAGGGGGTGTCGCCGTGCTACTGCTCCAGGAGGATGGCAAGGCACCGAACGACTGCTGCATCATGCCCCGCTGCGAAGGCAGCCGTGAGGTGAGGGGGAAGGGTTCGCAAAAGGTAGTTGGCGCGTGGGGCGGCGCAGAAGCGCAGCAGGAGCCACGCTGCCTGGAGGTCGTTGACGGCGGCGATGCTCGCCAGGAGCCGGTCCTGGTCGTCGCGCTTACGCCGGAGCTGGCGCGCGATGAACATCGACGAACGCATCATGTCCCAAAGGGGAGCCGAGCGCTGTGAGACCTTGCGAGTCTGGCGGGAAAGTCCAGTCTCCGACCCAGACACCCTCTTCACCTTAGCGATGTCGGGGGGCTCCTCCCCGGCGGCGTTCCAGATTCGCGTTTTGCCTTGGTGCAGACGGATTCGTGCCCGGTCCCACAACGCGGACAGGAGAGCATCGTAGAGTCGTAGAGCGTGCGCACGCGTTCAGGCGGTGCGACGATGTACGTATCATCGAGGAAGGCGAACGCAGCCTCGCCATCCCGGAGCTGGCCCTGGAGGTCGCAAAAGGAGGCTTCGTGTTGCGCCAGCGCGTAAAGCGCGGGCATCAGCGGATCGCCCTGTTCGCCGCCTTCGCCCTGGCAGATGATGCGTGCGCGGTGGGCTTCATCGTACCAGGTGTACGTGCTGGGCGCAGCATAAAACTGGCGGGCAAAGGGGAGGAGGGGCTGAAGCCGAGACCTTGCGTGCAGCGCACCCAGCATGGCACCCCAGGAGACGTGATCGAAAGCGCCGACCGCGTCAACCAACAGCACGGTCGCTCGAGGGCACGCTTCAGTGGCGCCACTTCATCGTGAGAGCGCGCGCACACGGCCGTTGGGCTTTCATGGCTTTCTAAGGGCGACGAGGCGTCCCACCCGGATTCCTTCAAGCACATCGGGGGGCACGTCGGCCTTGGCTAGCCGCACGGCGGCGCCATGCAACAGGCGGGCATCCTCGTCATCATCAAGCAGGATGCGGATGTGCTCGTTGGTGGCGCCCGATGGCCCGGGTGCCAAGCCGCGGCGGGCGCTGCGCAAGCAGCGGAAGGCCGGCAGGGGCAGCGGCAGGCCTCAGCGGGGGCGTGCCGAAGCACAGGTTCGGGCAGAGGAGCGTGAGCGGGGGGGCGCCG